CTCTCTCTCTCTCTCTCTCTCTCTCTCTCTCTCTCCACACATATTTCTCTGTATATAAAACCATTTCCAGATGTCAAGAGTGGCCAAAATCGGACAGAAGAGAAAGTCGGGCGAAGAGTGTCATGCAACGGTGGATGACTTTCTACTACAGGGGGCCAAAGAAGATAAGACGACTGACATGGAACCCAACAAGGGTAGTAGACAAACAGCGAGAACATATAGACAGGCTAAGAGAGGAGGTGGATAAGCAGAAAGAATTGGTGAGAGAGTTATCGGATGAACTAGGCCGTGTTAAGTCACTGCTCGGCGAAATGACAAAAACTGCGGAACACAGGATGTTCACTGTGTTCTGGTTGTTACTGGACGATCCTAAATGTTTAAACATAACTCGTCTGAGGGAGGACATGTCTGCCAGACTGAAGGCAATAGCTGAAACAAAGACCACCACGTTTGATGAGTTCCAGACATGGTTGGATATTGAAAGGCGCAGGCGCACTGCGGTCTTGAATCGGTTCGCAGCCCATGTCACAGAGAGAACTCAGGGGGAATCACAACGATGGAATGTCGCGTCTTGTGCCAGCCCTGGCAAGTGTGTGCTGAAGGAGGGGTGGGCATCCTACGATAGCCAAGCGTATACTACAGGTTCGCTATGTGCTTCGGGACGCAGTGTCGTTGACCTCTTGGCCTTCGCAGAAGACTATATTCGGCACTGTGTGGAAACCGTGGAAGAATACGGTCTTTGTGACGAGGGTGTRACGTCTGTTAAGGATGACCTTCCTAGCAATATGGCGTCTCTGTTGAGMAGTTGCGCGGACGTCATGGATGCCCTGCAACACACTCGAGGTAGGTTGTTGGGTRGAGAACTGACGGTGACATGTGTGAATGAAGTTGTCATGGRAAGTGCAGAAGGTRAAAGGTCGAAGRCGAGKGAAGAACTCRACACAACAATGCAAACGTCCAGAGRGATCGGRACCAGTGTCGTGGAACTTGCGCCTGCGCCGCATCCCCTRCTCGTATGCACCGATGTTGYAGCACTGAACTGTYACCAGGTTCGTCACAACTTCCCTTGTGTCGWTGCCAGCAGAGCACCTTCTGCTGATGCAGAATCTGTTCTGCTGCCAATGACGACAGACACATTCGAAAAGTTTGTTGCAAATGCGAATTMTCGACAAATGRCGAGGCTGGTTRCRGACTGTMTGTCCCATCTCATATCATACATCAAAGAGATTATGGCACCGGTCTTTACGAACGCAGGCCAGCATGGAGGGAATTAGAAATGTGAGCATTGCAGGAAAGGACTACACATCCACGACCGCTTAAAAACTCTCTACACTAGATGTCAAATNGACTACACATCCACGACCGCTTAAAAACTCTCTACACTAGATGTCAAATCGTGGCAGCGCGGGTGGTCAGGGACGCGTGATTTCTCTCTCTCTCTCTCTCTCTCTCTCTCTCTCTCTCTCTCTCTCTCTCTTGCATTCACATACTTGTGGTTGGCTATACATATTCCTCTCGCGCTGTGTGTTGTCGTTCTGCCCCGCAGTAGTAAACCGCCGTTGTCGCTGCATCACTGCCTCTCGGACAACATGAGGTTCACTACTGCCGGCCAATTAAGGTCTCTTAAGTGCTGTTTGTTGAAGTTATGGCCCGCAGTAGTGAACCTCGCGGTGGTAGCACACAGTAGTTTCCCTGCTACGGAAGGTTCACTACTGCGTGCCATGTAAGTGTTAACCGGTGTTGTTTGTTGTCGTTATGGCCCGCAGTACTGAACCGCCCTCTGTAAATGCATCACAGCCTGTTTGACAGCATGAAGTTTACTACTGGTGGCCAATTTCGGTCTCTGAAGTGATGTTTGTTGGAGTTATGGCCCGCAGTAGTGAACCTTCCATGAGAGTACACTCTGTAGTTTCCCAACTACGGAAGGTTCACTACTGCGTGCCATGTAAGTGTTAATCGGTGCTGTTTGTTGTCATTCTGGCCCGCAGTAGTGAACTGCCCTCTGTCGATGTACCACAGCTTGTCCGACAGCATGAAGTTCACTACTGGTGGCCAATTTCGGTCTCTGAAGTGATGTTTGTTGGAGTTATGGCCCGCAGTACTGAACCTCGCGGTGGTAGCACGCTGTAGTTTTCCAACTACGGAAGGTTCACTACTGCATGCCATGTAAGTGTTAACCGGTGCTGTTTGTTGTCGTTCTGTCCCGCAGTAGTGAACCGCCCTCTGTCGCTGCATCACTGCCTGTCCGTCACCACAAGGTTCACTACTGCCAGCCAATTTTCATCTCTCATGTCATGTTTGTTGGAGTTATGGCCTGCAGTAGTGAACCTCGCGGTGGTAGCACACTATAGTTTCCCAACTACGGAAGGTTCACTACTGCGTGTCATGGACGTGTTAACCGGTGCTGTTTGTTGTCGTTCTGGCCCGCAGTAGTGAACCGCCCTCTGTCGATGCATCACAACCTGTTCGACAGTATAAGGTTGACTACTACCGGCTAATTTCGGTCTCTCAACTGATGTTTGTTGGATTTATGCCCGCAGTAGTGAACCTCGCGGTGGCAGCACACTGTAGTTTCCTTGCTAGGGAAGGTTCACTACTGCGTGCCATGTAAGTGTTAACCGGTGCTGTTTGTTGTCGTTGTGGCCCGCAGTAGTGAACCGCCCTCTCTCGATGCATCACAGCCTGTCCGACAGCATGAAGTTCACTACTGCCGACCAATTTCGGTCTCTCAAGTGATGTTTGTTGGAGTTATGGCCCGCAGTAGTGAACCTCGCGGTGGTAGCACGCTGTAGTTTCCCAACTATGGAAGGTTCACTACTGCGTGCCATGTAAGTGTTAACTGGTGCTGTTTGTTGTCGTTCTGACCCGCAGTAGTGAACCTCGTGCTGTTGCTGTATGTATGCATGTCTCTCTGTCAGAGGTTCACTACTTCGTCTGTATTTGGCAAGAATGTGATGTTTGTTGGAGTTATGGCCCGCAGTAAGCAACCTCTTTGTACTGTCAAAAAACTCTCTCTCTCTCTCTCTCTCTCTCTCTCTCTCTCTCTCTCTCTCTCTCTCTGGGGTGAGGGGGGCATGGCGGAGCTA